TAATTAGAATTAAATGAAAATATGACACTAAATAGAACGCAAGTAGAGAAAAGGATTCATGTAGTCGATCCCACTTAGTGGGATAAAGGTTTTTTGTTGTTGTTGTTGTTGTTGTATAACATAAATTAACTTAATCATTCAACATGTAGTCAAACAATTTCTTCTTTTTGTGTGCAGTTTGTTGAATATGTTCTAATTAAGCTCACACGCGGAAGCTTAATAGGACTAAGAACTTCACAGCAAATGCTTTGAGTTCAAACAAATGATATTTGAATTGTGCAAACCAATGCTAGAGCATAAGGTTAAAAAGAAATTAGTAATATATATTAAGATAAGAAATTTATATGTAAATGATTTTAGCGTGTCTTAATGATTTAAATTAACATACATTTTTAAGAAGAAAATTAAGTATTTTTTGCAGTCTTATTTTGATAACAGTTTGTTGTCATTTGATTATCATTGCATTGAAACATATGTTTTGTCTATTGTTTCAGGAATGCCCCTTAGGTACCTACAAAAATGTAACGGGATCTGATTTCTCTTTATGTCGTCAATGTCCACCTGAAGAGCTTCCTCATCGTGCTATGTATACAAGTGTTCGAGGTACTTGTGTCTTTCTTACGTTATTTTATTAGCAATCGAGTTGCATTTGTTTTATTTATGTTTGATAGGTAATTTGGATGGTTGATTGATATAGTATTTCTTGATTTCAACGACAGTTTTGCCTACATATCAGTCTAAGTTAGAAGATTTTTAGTTTTATTTGGTGCACTGAGAATGGTTTTTAGTATTTAGGCATTGTTTGTCCCATGCGGACGCATTTTTATAGGAAATATTTAAAACATGTGAATCTTATTTAACCTCTTTTCCTGCCTCGTAACAGGAGGTGTCGCAGAAACTCCTTGTCCTTATAAATGTGTCTCTGATCGGTATCACATGCCACACTGTTACACAGCTTTGGAAGAATTAATTTATACTTTTGGTGGGCCATGGCTGTTTGGTCTTCTTCTTTTTGGTCTTCTTGTCTTACTAGCCCTTGTTTTGAGCGTTGCCAGGATGAAATTTGTTGGTACTGACGAATTACCTGGCCCTGCTCCAAGTCAGCATGGTTCTCAAATTGATCATTCCTTTCCATTTCTCGAGTCGCTAAATGAGGTAATCTTTTTCCATTTAGTATAACTCTTATCTTGAAATTATTTTTTCTTCTGCTGACATTGAAACTTCTTGAACATGATCCAGGTCTTGGAAACTAACAGGGCTGAGGAATCTCAGAGTCACGTGCACAGAATGTATTTTTTGGGTCCAAATACATTTAGTGAACCTTGGCACCTTCCTCATTCTCCTCCTGAACAGATAACAGAAATTGTGTAAGTGTTTTTTTCTATAGTCAAGTTTTTATAGAACTGACTTGTTTAAATCCATATGTTTAAATGCTGTGTGTTTTAGACGTAATACCTTTTATATCCCTGAATTTTGCACGGCTCATTCAAGCTTATTTAAATCCATATATTTAAACGCTGTTTGAACCGTAGTACCTTTTTAATCCTTGATTTTTGCACTGCACGTTCAGGTATGAGGATGCATTCAATAGATTTGTTGATGAGATCAATGCCCTTGCTGCCTACCAGTGGTGGGAGGGATCAATCTATAGCATTCTTTGTATCCTTGCTTATCCTCTGGCATGGTCATGGCAGCAGTGGAGGAGAAGAAAGAAATTGCAAAGGCTGCGTGAATTCGTTCGATCTGGGTATGATCATGCATGCTTACGTTCTTGCCGTTCACGTGCTCTTTATGAAGGCCTTAAGGTATGTCTTAATGTGCTCATCTATGGTTTGATCGCATGTATTTGGTTTGATAATCGCTATAATTCTGTATTCCCATTTTTCTACTTTGAATTTCTGACTTCTGAGTTTTACAGCTTATTCTTGACACTGACAATCGATTTATTATCTTTGTCAATGCCTTTTTCTTTCATTTCGAAGTTGGATTATGTTTTCAAAGAAACAATCGCTTGTTCATTGTGTTTTGCAACACATTTTATTAACCAGACCTGCTTTAAACCCGTTTATACATTGTGTTTGCAACACTGTTTGTTACTTATGCCACATTTTGATATATTTTTTCCCTTCAGGTTGCTGCTACACCAGATTTAATGCTTGCATATATAGATTTCTTCCTTGGTGGAGATGAGAAGAGGCTTGATCTTCCTCCTCGGCTTCACCAAAGATTTCCCATCTGTTTAATCTTTGGTGGTGATGGAACTTACATGGCACCTTTTTCTCTCCATAGCGATAATATTCTAACTAGTCTTATGAGTCAGGTACTCCATACAGCCCAACTACACTTGAAATATTTGTGTGTTCAATCATTGTTCCCCCCTCTTGAGAATGAATTTGGTGAGCTAGTTTGCATGTTTATACTGGCAGGCTGTACCACCAACTATGTGGTATCGACTGGTTGCTGGATTGAACGCTCAACTAAGATTAGTCCAGCGTGGTCACCTTAGGACGTTATTGTTGCCTGTTCTCTCCTGGCTGGAAGCTCATGCAAATCCTAATCTTAGCAATCACGGCGTGTTGGTCGATCTTGCATGGTTTCAGTCTACTTCGTCTGGTTATTACCAGCTTGGTCTTGTGGTTTATGCAGCAGAAAGTCAAATTGATACTACTGTGGCTGATACATTTACCAGACCTACTAAAGTAGAATCACCACGGTATGCTGATTTCATTATTTTTAGCTTATTTCGAAATCATAACCATTTTCCTAATGCTTGCCTTGTACTTTACAGCATGAAGAGGGTTAGCCAAGCAGAAGAAATTCTATTAAATAGGGACGCACTTCTGAGGCATAAAATAGGAAATGGTAGTATATTAGATAAATGCAATGTGCATACACTTGATGATAAGAAAGATATTTTCTATCCATTATCATTTGTGATGCATAACACCAAGCCTGTTGGTCACCAGGTACTGTGCCGCTGCCTCGACTGCTCTACACATAGTTTTTTAATTTTGATTGCTCTGTTAACAGATTTAGTCTATGCAATACGTATTACCCTGCTTCAGAAAGGTAAATTTGATTGTAGTGAATTAATTCTTTGATTTCTCTGCAGGATCTCGTTGGTTTGGTCATTTCGATCCTTCTACTGGGAGATTTTAGCTTAGTACTCCTTACTCTGCTCCAATTGTATTCCTTTTCACTGGTGGATATTTTCTTGGTTTTATTCGTTCTTCCGCTGGGACTACTCGCACCTTTTCCTGCTGGTATAAATGCTCTATTTAGTCATGGACCCAGAAGATCTGCAGGGCTTGCCCGCGTATATGCGCTATGGAATATCACCTCTTTGATTAATGTGGTGAGTTCTATAACCTTCTTCACACAGCCAATCTGATTTAGGGAACCTTTCTATCTTGTAATTTACAAATGCATGATTTTTGGCATGGTCTTTTGATTAATTTTCAGATATGTGCCTTTATATGCGGATTCATACATTACAAGTCATCAACACGGAGGCATCAGAATTTGCAACCCTGGAACCTGGGCGCGTGAGTGCAATATTTCCCTATTGGGGCATTTACGTACATACCACTCAATTCCTATGTATTTACATCAATAACATGTAAATTTTACTTCTTTAAAATTCAACCACCCAAATATTTTATGTCACATAAACAAAAACCACTGTTCTAGCTTTTAAAAAGTGAAATACACCTTTTCATGCATAGGTAAGTTGACATATATGTAAAAATTAAAGTTTCCGTGTTGGATATCTAAATACATAGGAATTGAGTGAGATGTATGCAAATCTTCCTTTCCTATATTTCTTGCCATATAGGCGGGAGCTGAATTGGCCTCCCATTGGATTTTCTAACTTGGCTGTTTGGTGGCAGAGATGAGAGTGGGTGGTGGTTGTTCCCTACAGGGCTGCTACTCTGCAAGTTTGTCCAAGCAAGGCTCATTGATTGGCATGTGGCTAACTTAGAGATACAGGATCGTTCGCTGTATAGTAATGACCCAAATGTGTTCTGGCAGTCATGACATGACAAGGTATCAAGTGATAGGTAGAAGAATCTGCGTTAGATGCAAAACCTATTATTCTTTATTTTCTTTGCTGTTTTTATTACTTTTTTTTTTTTTTTTAATTTTCTTATGAATATTTTTGAAAGAGAAATAGAGAAAGATAACCAAGAGGGAAGGGGGGGCCTTCTTTTTATGCATTAAGGCCTTTCTAATGCATTATACTGCTAGACTGACAAATTGTTTGATGTCAGTCACAGTTTTAAAAGATGTAAATATAACGCCAAACATTCTTTTGTAGAAATCTGACTTACAAATGTAATATTATATGGGAATTCTCTGCCAGCTTTTTCCTTCTTGATGGGGAAACTGCTTACACCTGTTAAAGATTGTTTCAGATTATATTTATATATAAACCTTTTTAAACGTTTTGTTATTACTTTCTGTGTTTACTCTTTCTTCCTTGTGGATCTTCTACCTTTTTACTTTCATCTTGCTGGAGGTTTCTTATGCATGAATTGAGTTTTGAAGACAACAATTTTTTTGGACCTGTAGTTTATTGGTTATGACTTATTATTTGCAATTATTATAAAATTTTAATTTGCAGATATTATCGTGTCACCATGCCTGGGCCGTCTGTAATAACCATATTTCTAACTCTTATTTTAATATTTATATATTAACGAAGTTACTTGTTCACTTTTTAAATTCTCAACGAGAAACTGTAAATGTGTAAAATGTTGACGGTAGGACCGTTACAATTAGGTTATCATTCATCAGGTGAAATAGTATAGTGGGGGTGAAGTACAATTCAGAAATATACACAAACCTAAGGCATACATTCAACTACAATTATATCATTGCATGGTGGTGAGATGAAGAATAAGAGCACAGCATCTGTAATATGGGTTGTTAGATGGGTTGTGCTGTTGGGGGTGAAATTTTTGTCTTTTTAGATGAAAAGTATCTTTTAAAAGTATTACTTTTACTTTCAGTCAATTGGACTGTAAAATACTATCTCCATTTATGAGCGATTTATGTGTGCTTGTGAGGCTAAAATGGGTTTCATTTATGAACAATTACTACTAATCAACTTAGAAAAATAAAATTTAAAATTTAAAATGTTTGAAGGGAACATGTCATACACTGTATAGGAGACTTGTTTTCTTCTTTTTTTAATTTTTATTCAAAAATTATAATTGCATAATTTTTTATTTTTTATTTTTTTTTTGTTTTTTGTTTTAAAACTTTTTTGTTAAAATTATATTTGTAAATTTTAAATAATTTATTTAACGCAATATTTTTAATTTTTTCTACTAATAAAAATAAAAAATAAAAAAATTTATCCCCTTTTATTCTGCAATTTTACATAGTTTTTTGTTCTAAGATTTTAATCCTACATTTTGATCAGAAATATATCATTAATAAATTTATTTTTATTATTTTATAATTTTAAATTTATTTTTCATTGTAAAACTATTTGTTCATTGAATGGGTAATTATTATTCATCAAAAATTTTAATAGATATTGTTGTGTGTTGAAAAATTTGCAATGTTAAAGTATGAGAGTTTATCATCATAATTTGACACAAGCATCTCAAATGCACATAGAAGAAAACAAAAAATTCATTGAAGATTTTTTTTATGAGGGAAAAACACGAGTTCTAGTCTAGTTGAAATGATTTCATTGAGGTCTAGCTTAGTTAAAATGATTTCACTATATAATAAGAGTTACATGACTCTGTTTGCCCTTGAGTAGGTGATGGTGATATTGTAAGAGCAGTGGTTATTGACTTGATTTCCACAAGAGGACCCATATAAAATATTTGAGAAGCCACAATGATTCCGGTGCAATGATAGTTATTCAGTGATCTCGAACATCAGGAGATAATTATTTGATGGTGGTGGTGATTGGGTGATAGTAGTCCTGAGGTGATGATGGTGGTGATGACTAAGCGATGGTGGTGAGCAGACAAGCTTGGGTTGTTCGACGATGGGGGCGACTGAACGAGCACCTGTAGTTCAGCGATGATTGTCGATAATCGTTGGATTCAAATTTTTTTCAAGAGCATGAATTTAAATCTTATTTTTTCTCCCCTTCCCTTATGATTGAGTGTTATGAAATTTTTCTAAATTTAACAAAATGTTTCTCTCGGAACTATATTAATAGCCTTATGCTCAACATGATGGAGGAAATTAAGAAAAAGAGTGTTTGGAGACATAAAAACTTTAAAGCTCCATCCGACATTTAACACAAAAAATATCCAATAATCATCATCAATTAATTGCTGTCTTTGATCATCATCATACCATAACCTCACTTGACAGTCGTTATCTAATTGTTATCCAGCAACTATCATCCAACCATCATCGTAATCATTTTTCTCTACTTTTAACTCTAATATAAGTAGAATATATCAAGTTTTTTACATGTTGTTTTATAATTATATTATCTCTCATTAAGGGAAATGCCATTAACTTTATAACTATTATAACCAGGGTTAGTCTCCATGATTTTTTCCTTCTTATATTTTTCATGCAAATATTATCATATAACATCTATTTTTTTATTCACATGTTTACATATCATTAAGAGAAATCTAGTGAGCATAAGATCACTCGCTTTAGATATTCATAAATCACTTAAAAATCTAATGTATGATATATGATCAAGTGAATCAATACTAGTCATCCAATAAATTGTATAAAAGTTTTGACTAAAATAATTAGAAAAACATTCAAAAAATTATAAACTATTTTTGTTCTTCATATGAAGGAATGAAGTGGACATAAAATTGGAGAGAGCTTAAAGATTTAAGAAAAACCAGTCAATCAACAATGAAGATTACCATTAGCAACTATCATTGCTTGAATGTTATTGCTTAACTGTGGTTGCTTGAATAACATCATCCAAATCACATCATTCATAGCCATCATCCAACTATCATTGTCCAACTGTCATTGCTTGATCATCATCTTCTGACCACTATTTTATGACCATCACTACATGCTACCAACTAATGCTGACATTAATTATTTCTTGATTATCATCTCACATCAAAGTTTTTCATCCTTCGCCACTTTTGCAAGATTTTTCACCACATAGGAAGTATAGATAGCAATCAAGACATTATAATCTTGTCTTCTCTAATCATTAAAACAAATAAACTTTTGTAACCTTCAACTAAATAATAGACCAAATTGATCAATATGAAGACTGAGCTAATAAAGCAAATATGAATAGCTTGATTAGATCCACTAACTTATCTCACAAGTAAAAACCAATATAAATAGAAAAGAATGCAAAATTGGCCTCATTGATTCCCTTATCTCCAGTGGATAAGGTGCTAAAAGATGTTTTAGATTCACATATCAATGTCTTCAATAATTTTACTACATTCATTATCCTAAAATATTTGAGATTTTGTTAGCTCGTCACAATGTCCAAAGCTCATCATTTTGAACATCCCAAATTAAAAATAATAGATCATCACAAAATTATTCCCACAATTTTAATCATTTAAATATAAATTTGTTATTAACAATATACTTGCATTATAGATGTTGGTTTACATTGAACCGAGGAGCAGGGACTTAGCTAGTAAGTTTTTTAAAAGAATTTTATATATCTTTATAATAGATTTTTTTCTCTATTTTTAATTTTTATTAGTGTGAAGATGAAAATTAAAGTTGAGAATAAAATTTAAATATTACAAGTAAATAATGTGAGAAATTTTAAGCTTTACATGAGTAGCATATTTATGTAATCAAAATATTCTTATCATCAAGCACAATGTAAAGCATGTAAAGAGCACATAAATGTATAAACATGTAAAAATTTTAAATGAATTGGTCAAGGCTTATGTCCACACCAAGGTCTTCACTACATCTTGGATTCATATAAAACAGACACATAATAAAATATTATTACTCCTTCATAGCTAGAGAAGTTTTTATAATGTACTTTTATCTTTAAAGCCATCTCTCATGCACAACTAACTCTCTTAATCTTCCATATTCATGGTAAAGGCATCATTTTATTCTTCACCAAAATATATAAATAATCATTCAAAAAATCACCATAGAAAATATAATTTGCAGAAACTGTCATTATAACTTTCTTAAAATTGAACTTTGCATTGACCCTTGAGAGTTTGTGAAGGATTGCAAAGTACTTTTGTAGAGGCCAACACAATTTTACGGAGACGTATTATAATTATTTTCTTAGACCCCAAACTCTCTAAAATTTTGTAGAGCGACTCAAAACGTCTCGCAGTGACTTATAATGAATCATATTACTTTATATATGCTCATAACTAAATTTATTTCAATAATTTAATTATATGACTTCAAATTTATATGATTCAAAATTAGTTCATGTAGTAGACTACAGATATAATAATATTTTTTTTACTTACTTTTGAATCGCATGAATGACTAACACAACAAAATCTTTTTGATTTTATTTTCTAAATATTCATATACCTCGCTTGCTAGTTCATTACATATGAAAGACATGCACATAGTTCTATTTCATTAATTTGCATGCCTTTATGTAAGATTATAGTGGTGTATATGTTACTTACAATCATATAAATAAAATTTTTACTCCATTTATTCCTTAGTGTAATTTATAATCATCAAAATCATAATAAGGGCTCATAGGTTGAACATTCTTTCCTCATTTTAACTAACAAATATGCATTAAGAGATATTTCTCAAACATGAAGGATAGATTAGCAAGTACTCCCCTTAAATATAATCATAATTAAAAATCATTAAGATCAAGTAAAAAAAATGTGATTACATCCAAATTTTGCGAGTTAAATTTTACAAGATAGGTCTTTTTAATTGTAGGATAAATATGTGAAAGCTAATGGCAAAGATGATAAACATTTTAATTTATACAAAAATCAATACATGCTCCTTTATATATATATAATATCACCTCTT